ACACAGACCTGTTTGTAGGCCAGGTTGAGCAGCTTGTAGCGGGCGGACCTCCTGAGCGGGAGGCAGAGGCTGTAGGCGGCGTGCATGGCGGCGCACAGGAAGCTGCAGAGCCCGAGCTGCTTCCTGCTGCCCAGCCAGCGCTGCAGCCATTGGGGGAAGCGCCGGTACTTGGTTCCCCTGCTCAGCTGCAGGGCGGCGGCCAGCAGGCCGGGCGCGTACACCAGCGCCAGCAGCTGCAGGGCGGCCGCGGGCAGAGAGGCGTTCACCAGCTCCACGGGCATCTTATAGAACAGGCTCCGCCCCCCAGCCACCCGGGGCTGAACCACCTCCCGCAGGAAGCTGTACAGGTAGAAGGAGAAGAAGAGCCCGGCGGTGGCGAGCACAGGCACGCGCCATGATGGGAACAGGTGCAGGGGGAGGTTCTCCAGCTCCAGGGCGGAGGAGAGCAGCCCCATGTCCACCGGGATGAAGCCCGTCCGCTGGCAGATCTGCTTCACAGAGTTTTTCGCCTCGAGGCTGTCGCCGCACAGGAAAACCTGAAGACAAACGCCACGTAACATCAACCGACTCCGTCCCAGCCTCACCCCCCCCCACGGCCTCCTTCAGTGGCCAATAGGGGGCGCTCGGGCGCTGCCCCCCCCAGGTGTGGAGGGGGAAAGTCATAATATCCTCCTGAGACCCGGCCCATTCATTTATGTCCATTATAGTGGACATGTTGTCCACCTGTACCCCCCCTAAGTATCTGGAGTTACCCTATCAAGCCCTATAGTGTTCTGTAGAGGACATCCTGGGCTTTCCAGTGATGTGCCATGTGATAGGTTTGCATGCTGGGAACTTTACTTTTTTCCTAAGAGTTCTTAGGTAAATATCCCTTTCAAGACATCTTCTTTTTTAGTATTTAATTATCTAAAGCCTGTTCTATTTTCCCATGCAAATCGCCCTGTTGTCCTACACAGTGGACATGCTATGTAATTAAAATTAAACATATTTTTTTTTTAATTGAAATTGTAATGTTCTTTTTTAGGTCCAAATACATGGAAAATCACAACAAAAAATAAATTTGAAGACACTTCTTTTCTTTGGGTCTCAGGAGGATAAATATGTGTATATATTTTAAAAGTATTACCAATGTCAGTTTTACTTAAGAGTATGTGGCTACATGTAATATGAATTATTAAAACAACACTTCCACCAATTGACTATCATTCAACGGTGCATTTCCACCCACAATACGTATCATTTCTCTTCAGGGGCGCTTACCCCAACCCCAACGCCATCAGCTCCCAGCTATTCTCTGAGCTCCCCACAGCGCCCCCCGGTGGACCAGGGCTGTCAAAAGTCAAGTCAAGTCAAGTAGGCTTTATTTATTTATTGTCAATTTCTTTACATGCGTTGGTCGTACAAAGAATTGAAATTTCGTCCGTGCAGACATAGACATAAATTAAATAAGTTAGATAAATTAGACATATAATTAGAAAATCGATACTCAAAAAAGTTACTATGCTAAAACGTTGAATCCGGATACGATACTCATTTTCAAAAGTATCCATACCCCCCGCCCCCGATTTATTTATTCATTCATTTACGTTGTTTATGATCATTAACGTGACGTTAGCCTTGAATTGCTAGCTACGGCTAATGGCTAATAATAACACGCTAGCATTAATCAAGTACTGCAGGAAGCCAAGGAGGGAGATCCAACTCCCCCACATCCAAGTCGGCCATTTTGATTAGGTCACCACTAGGTCCCAGGCAAGAAAATCCTAATTGCTTCATGGCAATATAGACATTAATTTAAAAATAGTGAAATTAATCTTGCCAACACTGAATTAAACTCTATACATAATATTATGTTAAAATAGTGAATGTTAAATACACACAATACACACAATAAGTCCAGTAGTACAATAAGTATAAACAAGTCCAAGTCCAAAAGTCCAAACAACTTTAACCAAAAAATATTTATTTCTACAATTATGAAGGGTGGAGGGTCAGGGTCAGGGTTAGGGTTTGTTTTAGGGTTAGGGTTAGGTTTAGGGTCATTAATGTGGGCCACCATAACATCAGTAACAGGTCAGTTTGAAACCAAAGACACTAACCTGTCCAAATTCTGTTAAATTTTGGGGTCTTTGTTTTTATCCTTGTGGTTTCGAAAATGGCATCGAATATTTTCCTGAGTATGGGTATCCAGTTGAACATGTTAGTATGGTGCCCCCCCCCCCCCGGTGGTGCGGCCCTACCTGCCGGCTCCCGTCCCGCGGGCCCGTCTGCAGCGTCCAGGCGGAGATGGTGTTGAAGGCCTTCACCACGCAGCTCTCCGGGAAGATGTCTGCCAGCAGCTGGGCGTGGGAGGGGCCGTCCTGGTTGATGCGCGCGCCGTTGCTCACGTCCACCAGCGTCTTCCCGCCCAGCGCCCGCCTCAGCGGCGCCAGCGTGGAGTGGTGCTCCGCAAACACCGCCACGAACACGAGGTCGGCCTGGCTGGCCGCCTCCATCTGGGTGGTCACCTGGAGGAGCAGCGAGAGGTCATTATCCCAGCATAATTATCTATTTATTTTATTTATTTCTTTAATCAGGACAGTGCACATTAATGAACAATCTCATACAGATTGTAAATGAGCCAGATTATAGCATAGTTGCTAGCTTACATCTGTCGTCCTGAGGCAGGAAGACCAAACAACACAAAATCGCAAAATACAAAATCAGTCCAAACACACGTTCAGACAATGACATTACAAAATTACAATTAATTCAATTCAATTCTATTGATATAGCGCCACATCACAACAACAGTTGTCTCACAGCGCTTTCCAAACAGAGCAGGTCAGACCCTACTCTGAAGTTAACTACAGAAACCCAACAATTCCCACCATGAGCAAGCACTAGGCGACACAGGCAAGGAAAAACTTCCTTTTAACAGGCAGAAACCTCGAGCAGAACCATGGCTCAGGGTGGGCGGTTGGGGTTGAGGGAAAGAGAGGGCAAGAGAGAGAGAGAGGGTGAGAGAAGGACAGAGGGAGCAGAGAGAGGCAGCCAACACAGCAACACGTAGACTAGATGAAAAATGGCAATGATATTAATGCTAATGATGATGGTAGAAGTTATGACGGCTACAGAGCAGGAACACGGGGACAGTAGGAAACTCCCAACCACAGATCCAGACTCCACAGCTCCAGAGATACCTGCAGGAAGTGATAGGAGGAGACTCCCAACCACAGATCCAGACCCCACAGGTCCAGACCCAGGAATATCTGCAGAAAGTGTTGGGAGGAGAGAGAAGGGGGACGAGAAAGCACACGACTACGGGGAAAGGAGAGAGTCCAGTTAGTAACATTGTTAATGGAATGAGGTTGCACCGGGAGGGAGAGAGAGAAAGAGAAGGGGAGCATGGGAGAGCATAATTATCTCCAGAGGGAGATAAACACTAATTACAGAGGGAGTATCAGAGCGTGTGTCACCTCGGCCTCCTCGGGGAACAGAGCCGCGGAGCGCTTTGGGGTTCGACTCCCGACCACCACCTGGTACCCGGAGGCCAGCAGCCTCCTGGCCAGCGAGCGGGAGAAGTCCCCCGTGCCCAGGATGCCGATGACCGGAGCCTCGGGGCCCGAAACGCCGGCCTCCAGGTGTCTGGAGCCGCCGCGTTCACCTCTTTCTCTGATTAACGGCTTTTTCATCGGATCAGACATCGTGCACTTAGAGAACACAGACCTGAGGAGACAGACGGATTTAGTTTAATGTGTCACCTGTGATCAGATCAAACATACAAACCAATAAATAACTGTTTTCCTTTTCGTTTGAAGTTAAAAGATGTAAAGACACTAAAATTAGAATAGGATTGTCATTGAGTTTCCATCTCATTCCCCTTGTTGAGTCTCAGCTGGTGTGTCCTAGATCTGTACCTGCTCCATCAAAGCAGGCTACTTCCAACAGTAGCAGAAGTGGACGAAAACACATAAAAACACAGTAAAAAAACAATTATTTTAGCCAACATGATCCACATAAAAGCACTAATATGCTCACAGCCATATGCCGAATTTAAACTAAAACGGAAAACATTTGGAAAATGCGAAAAGTCCTGTTGTGACTTCTATCTAACTTGAACAAAAAGCGATAATACCTTAAAGTGGGCGAAATTAAAAGGAGGTTCTGGTCCAAAGAGAGAGCGGACAGGAGCCGCTGTCCTTGGCTGAACTCTGAAACTTTACGTCCGATTTAAGTTAATCTCCTCAACACGCGCTGGATTTAAGTCAAACAAACCGGGACATTGTGACAGAGCTTCGTCTTAAAACGCACCCCGCACGTCCCCGTGCACGAACCGGAGGACCCCGCGCGACTTACGGGCAGCAGTTTGTCCGCGCGCTCCGCCGCTGTCCGGAAAATGGAGCGTTCCTTCCTGGTATCGTGACGTAGCAGCTCAGGCCACGCCCCCACGTGGCCACGCAAGATAACTCCCAACTGATTTTAACCCCGATTTTATCATAGTAACTGACAGAAACATGCCTGACAATGAAGAATAAACAAAATAATCTAAATTATTATTAATATTAAATTATTATTATCACTTTTTTGCATGCATTAATAAAAATAAAATTAAAAAATGCCCCTTTTTGTCTCAAAAACAATGTTTTATGCTAATAATTTCTTTTATATATGTAGCCAACTGCAGGTGTGATGACAAATCCCATCCATTTGGGGAATTTCTAAAGGTTTTTTACCACATTTTCCAAAAGCTGGCCAATAATAAACTTATTTGCAACTTGTTGAAACAAATATTTGCGCTTTTATCAGGGATCATGAAATTATTCCTGAAATAAGTTGTTTTATAAACACTAATTTGGATTTTTTTAATAATTATTTTAATTTAGGACCCCATAAAAACTATTTTTTTAATATTCCCTGATGTATAAAGCCTAAAAACTCAAGCATGTTACTCTCTTTTTCACCACAACACACAGTAATCAAAAATAAAATCATAAACACATGCAAATTTGCCAATAAAAGCATGTTGAATGGGATGAACGCCCCTTATTTGTGCCTCACTGTGGACATAAATGGAAACACGTTTAATAAAAAGGTTGCTGACTTACCCGCTGACTTCCTGTGGAGACTGCTCCTGTGTTTGTACAAATATTCACATCATTTTCAGACTAGATGAGAACCAGGGGAGTTTTCTAGAGTTGAAGTCTCTATTAGAGACTCGACTTGTGGATCAGATGTCGCTTCGTGTTTGTCTGCTGCCATGGCTGCGGATCCCCCCATAACAGTAATCTTAGTGTTTTAGGGCTGACTTCTTGTGTGTATAAATACAGTGTGCCCCCCCCCCTGCTGTAGAGCTGGTGTGTTTGATAAACTGGCCTTGGGATTAGAGGAGGAAAAAAGCAAAAGCGTGTTAAAATGATGTCTGGCCGCGGGACAGGCGCTGTCACCATGACTTCATCATGTCTGCCTTTGCCACTTGCAAAAGGTTGAACCCCCCCGGCCGGCTGAGCTGCATCCGTGTCAGCACCCAAAACACACACACACAGACACAC